CCCCAAAACCCCAAAACCCCAAAACCCCAATTATAAAATTTTTAGAATCCATAGCAAATAATGTAAATAAACTAAACTTATTTTATAAATTGATAAAATATATCATTTTACAATTGCATATCAGATTCCTACTTATTTCTAAAAATATTCTCAATTCTATTCTTATTATGAAATCTACTCTGGACTCTGCATATTTACACTCTCCTCTTCAGTTTCATTCGTAATGGTTTCCTCGCTATCACTTGAAGGCCCACCAAGTAAAAATGCCTTCTTTGGCTTGATATTTTTGAATGGAAACTTTTCTGGTTTGCCATCTAGAGTGAGTCCTGGTTGGTTGACAGCATTTGCTTCAACTTCTTCCTTCCTTTTCTTAGCATTGTCTTTTATTTGTTTGCTAGCTTTACTAATCATATCAAGTACTGATGACTCACTTTGTTAGGTTTAAAGTAAGCTCATTTGCAAATCTTAAGAGAAGTTAGCTTCTTAATGCTGCTTTTCTTGCTATATAATTTAATAGTATGCTTCATCCATATCAGATTCAACCTTTAGCAAACCCCTTAAATTCAAATTTTCTACAGCTAACTATTCTATCAACTGATAGTCTTGCTCACCATCAGAACTTTCTAATTCATCTAGGGCATATCTACTTAGGAAAACCTGAGTCTACTGCATTTTATCAATCAGATTATAGTTCTTTGCCCTTAAACTTAAATTTTCCAATTCCAAATTCTTTATTCGAGCTAAATACAAATCCCTAGATTTTTACACTCCTTTAAGATCAATTGTACTTAGCTTAAACTGTTTATTTTACTTGAGAAGGGATTTACTAAGCAGCTTAAATGCCTCTAATTCAGTTTTTAGTCTGTTATTCTCTGCACCTTACTTTAGCAATGCCTATTAAAGCACTGTGATTTCTATAATGATATGAGTTAGTAATGAATATATATTCTTACCATTCTTATATTTATCTTCTATCTGCTTATACTTCAGCTGACTATCACCATTCATATTTTTTCTAATCTTGGTAGTATTAGCACCACTACCTACCCCATTTAGTTTGTCCTTGGTTCTTGTAGTTAGACTATCTTTATTTATAATATCTGCATCAAGCTAATCTGTTGAATGATGGCTTTTTAACAGAATACTATTTGACTCACTGGACATTTAAAAGGGCTAGATCTGATTGTGATCCTTTTCAAGTGATTTATGACTTCTATTTGAACTCAAGGTATTATTTGTAAAGTTCTAATTTTCATTGTATTAACCTGATACTACTCCGCCACTATTAGTATAGTTCAGAGGGGATCTGACAGTTTTGTGATTATTTTTATTCTACTTGTTTTAAGTTTCGCTCATTTCGAAAGGTGCTTTAGTACTTTTCTTTACTACTTAAGCTTCGTTTTTTATTGTCTGCTATTTATTCCCCTTTTTGCTAATATTCTTTTAAGCCTAGTTATACTAAAGATTTTGTCTTGGAGATATTTTTGCTGTTTAACTCTGCTATATCTTCCTTGTAGGTTAAGACTACTATTAAAACTATGCTAAAAGTGAGTTGAACGGATGAATGCCTACTGGTTACTGCTGTTACTCAAGGATGGTCTGATTAAATAGCTTATTTTTGATTGGTATCATTTGATGCTTTTCATCATTTAAGGTACCAGCATTATTAGTATTGTTATGTAATTTCAATTTCCTATCCTATGGTATCTCATAAAAAGAACTTTAGTGAGAGACATCTGATTCAGTTACCATGATATCTGGGTCATAAGTGTCGTCATATTGTTACTATTGTTATGAATAAAGCCCATTACCACCTGCTCCTACAAATCCGAATTATTAATTCCGTGCGTAGATATCATCTAGAAAATTGTCTCTTTAAGGCTAAAATTTAGCATCAGGTCCCCAGATTGGAGATAAATCTCGTTTTTATACTTTATTTTTGTTCTCTTAAACATATTGATTTGGAATATGATTAGTTGGTGCTAAGAGTCCAAGACCCTAATCATAACCCCCACGCATGTTGAAATCTACCGATTAAACTATTCTTTTATGACCATAGTTGTGAGGCTTAATAGAATTTTTAACTTTATTTTGCTTCTAAGTATTCTAAAAGAATTCGCCATCATCATCCACTACCTCAAAATGATTAAGCTATTAAAACGGTTGATAGTTATAACTACTTGTGAGCTAATTTTAGTAGTGTCTAGACTAACTTGTAGGCTGCATCCTATTTTATTAGTAAATAAGCTAGCCATTCTAAATGGCACCATTGTTACTACTATTGATATTGTTGGAATAAAGATTCTAAATAAGTTGGGTATTAAGTACAGATGGACTCAAAGACCTTTAGTGATAGATTTTCCTATTTACTGACTATTGTGCTTTCTTAGGAGGCATTGATGCAGAAACATCAAAGTTTTATGATTGAGCTAGTTGCTTAAAATTCTGCTCTTAAAGTCTATTTTCCTAAGGATATGCTATAGGAGATCTTGATATATGTTTCACTTGCTTGCCTATGATATTATTATCTTAGACTTAATAATCAGCTTTTAAGACTCTTTGTTAAATCTAAGTTTGACTCTAATCATTATTAGCCTCCCTCATTTTAGGGTTGTTTGGATTAGATTATTGAATTTGTGATACTTTGACTGTCTGATAGTGCTATAGATTCATCTTTAAAAGATTATTTAAATTCAAACAAAATTATTTTATTTTTATTTATCAGATGTACTTTCTAAACACATCAATACTTTCTTTTTGGGGTTTTGGGGTTTTGGGG